GTTCCTTTATTTTCCTTTTATATCCCTAGCAAAACAGCCCATTTCAGCTCTAAAAACTGAGCAACACGTGTCCAAGCACTGCAGCGGGAGTTTTGTGCACTGCATCGCCGCTAACTATTCTCTAGAAACCCTAGCAGCAAAGTTGTGAGCGCAGCAGCGGGAAAAATTGGCGTTGTAGCTCATGTCCAGCTCGGCCAAGGTGTGCTGCAGCGGCTCAAGATTTTGCTGCGTCTTGTAACTTTCCTTGCCTCTAGTTTTGGCGTTGTAGCGAGTTCAAGATGTGCTGTGGCGGTCGAAACAACGTGCTTTTTGCACTTTTCCTTCCTTTTGAGACCAAATATTCCATTTTTGCTACACTCTACAAAAGTGAGACAAAAACACCATAAAATCCATGTGCAAATACCAAGAACAAGCAAAATAACTATGAATGGTACTAATAATAAATCAGGTTATCAGCAGTAGAAGCCCCCCGGTCGCGTAAAGCAAGGGATAAAGCCCTCAGGCGTGCAGTGAACGGCCTCGTGCCACCCATCGTCCGGGGTTCAAACTGCACAAATTTTTTGATTTCTTTTAATTTTTCCATAAAAGCTATTGACATTATGCATCCTAAAGTTCATATATGTTTTTTTAGAACTAATGCAACAAACCGCTCCTTTTTTGGATTAATATTGTATTTTCTAAAAGTTCCTCTATTATTCGCATTTGAAAAAAAAATGATGTTAAAAAATTCTAAAATTCTTCAAACACGTTCTTTATATTTTTCTAAGCATCCTTGCAACAACTCATGTAAAAATACCTTTTTTAAAAGTATTTATGGAGTGATACCTCATCGGGACGAGGTCACCAACGAATCAGACCTAATAAGTGAGCTTCTCACGTAAGAAGACCGGGGGCGCGTAAAATATTAGAGAATAAACAAATATGGCTTTGTTTAACTAGAGATTGAGCGATAACTAGGCCAAAGATGGAGAAAACTGAGAGTTTTAACTTGTTCTCTCGTTTATTATTTAAAGTGAATCGGACCTAATTAGTGAGGTTCTCACGTACGAAGACCGGGGGCGTGTATAATATTGGAGAGTAAACAAATATGGCTTAGTTAAACTAGAGGTTGAGCAATAACCAAGGCCAAAGATGGAGAAACCGATTGTTTTAACTTGTTTCTCGCTTATTATTTAAAGCGAATCAAACCTAATTAGTGAGCTTCTCACATACGAAGAACGGGTGAACGCAAAATATTATAGAATAAACAAATATGGCTTGGTTTAACTAGAGGATGAGTAATAACCAAGGCCAAAGATGGGGAAACCGATTATTTTAAAAGACCGGGGTGTAACACCTCTTCCGAGCCAGCTGCTAAAAACTACACTGGCTCGAGAGAAACGTTAACATGGAAATACAATCCTTGAGCAGAATTCTTAATATTACAGAATTGTTAATAGTACATCTATCACAATTACAATTCTCGAACAAAATCTTAAGATTACAAATTTCATATCTTAAGATCTCTTACCTCGTCATGGGACTTTTAATTGTTCTTGCTCAGTCAACTGGAACTTCTACTTTAGCATTTACCTGCATCACAAGAACTATATGAGCTCAAGCTCAGTAAGGAAACCATATAGTAATTTCCACTTAAAAAATACTTTTCTTTAACATTTATGGCCCTTTTTGTATAATATTCATCTTGGGTTATTAGAACCCCTTTCCTATGGCCCCTATCTTGGAATCTCTTGTTCCTTAAGGATTTGGCCCTTTACTCTATCATACTTTAATCAGTTCATAATAAACACAAGATTCATATCATACTCTGAAAACACTTTCTAAATCCCTTGGATCAAAGCATATGTTGATAGATCCTAGCCATTGATTCTATATCTAATATCTACCCTTGGATCATAAGTGTTTTGACTAAATCTTGGCCATTGATGGAATTCTAAGTGTCCATCTACTTGACAAGTGTCTAACAAAAGACAATTTGAACTTTTCTTTTTTTTTCCTAATCTTGACAAGTGTTCACTTAGAAGAAAATTTGAACTTTTCTTCTTTCCTAATCTTGACAAGTGTCCATTACATGTGAATTCTTCTGCATCTATATGTTATCTTATAAGGCGGGTATTACAATCTCCCCTCCTTATAAAAATTTCATCCTCGAAATTTGATGATTTTAATTTCTCCAAATGAACAACTGTCCTAATAAATAATTCAAAATCTTAACTATTCCTCAAAATATAAATCCTAGGTTGACTAAGTTCTTGGTCCCATGATATGTCTAATTATGTCTCCAGAAACGTATTGCTCTGATTCCAACTATAACGCCCCTCCTGAATCATCTGCTAAAAACTACGTTGGCTCGAGAGAAATGTTAACATGGAAATACAATCTTTGAGCAGAATTCTTAATATTATAGAATTCTTAATAGTACATCTATCACAATTACAATCCTCAAACAAAATCTTAAGATTACAAATTTCATATCTTAAGGTCTCTTAACTCGTCATGGGACTTTGAACTGTTCTTGCTCAGTCAACTGGAACTTCTACTTTAGCACTTACTTGCATCACGAGAACTATTTGAGCTCAAGCTCAGTAAGTAAACCATATAGTAATTTCCACTTTGAAAATACTTTTCTTTAACATTTAGGGCCCTTTTTGTATAATATTCATCTTGTGTTATTAGATACCCTTTCCCATGGCCCCTATATTAGAATCTCTTGTTCCTTAAGGATTTGGCCCTTTACTTTATCATACTTTAATCAGTTCATAATAAACACAAGATTCATATCATACTCTGAAAACACTTTCTAAATCTCAATCTCATGAATGTATTCCAACAATAACATATATAAATTACAAACATTCATTAAAAACACACTACTGTTCAAGTGATGCAGTGGAAGGTATACTTAGAAATTTGCTGGTCGAGAGGAAAATCCTTCTATCTGTTTTCTCTTGTCTTTCCATTTTCTCTTTCTTTCTTTCTTTCTTCTTCTTCTTCTTCTTCTCTCTCTCTCTCTCTCGCTAATTTTCTCTCTCTAGCCACCTCCATATGAAGTATGGAATGAATCCATCACCTATTTATAGCTTGCCATCTTATATTCTAGCCCTTGGATCAAAGCATATGTGGATAGATCCTAGCCATTGATTCCATATCTAATATCTACCCTTGGATCATAAGTGTTTTGGCTAAATCTTGGCCATTGATGGAATTCCAAGTGTCCATCTACTTGACAAGTGTGTAACAAAAGACAATTTGAACTTTTCTTTTTTTCATTCTTTCCTAATCTTAACAAGTGTCCATTACATGTGAATTTTTCTACATCTATATGTTATATGAGTAAAAATGTTTTATGAAGTGACACCTCCTCAGAAAGAGGCCACCAGCACGACCTAGAGCACGGCCGAGGCCCAAAACGAATCGGGGCTAATTATTGAGATTCTCAAGTACGAATACCGGGGGTGCGTAAAATATTAAGAATAAATAAATAAGGCTAGGCTTAGCTAGAGGTTAAATGATAACCATGGCCAAAGATGGAGAAACCGAGTGTTTTAACTTGTTTTCTCACTTCAACCTTATTATTTAAAATGAATTGGGCACAATTAGTGAATTTAAAGCGAATCAGGCATAATTCGTGAGAATCTCACATAAGAACGGGAGCACACAAAATATTTGAGAATAAATGAATAAGCCTAGGTTTAACAAGAGGTAAAATAAGAACCATTGCCAATGATAGAGTTCTCAATGAGAGAAAAATAGCCCAAGAGTTTTTGTGGAACAAATTATTATTTTTGGGCTACAATTAGATTTTAAAGGATTAAATTGCAAGAAGTTCCTTGTAGAAGGAGCTATTTTGCAATTTTAAAAAAATTGAGAGTCTAATTAAAATTTAAACAATCACTTAAAAGGCCAAAATTACCCAATATGTCTCTATTATCTTTTCACGCTGAAACAACGTAAAAAAAAAAAAAAAAAACCACACGACGGAAGAGAAAAGATATCATCAAATATCATTTAAAAATAAATGCCCGTTTACATTTACATGTATCATTTAACGTTTAAAATTTAACTGAGAGAACGAAAAAGGAAAACGCATGCTAACGGTGAATTATTCAAAAAAAAATTTGTTATTTTTAAATTTTAAGGGGCATTTTGTTAGAAGATCAATAGTTCAAGGGGACAAGCGTAATTTGCTATACCCTCCAAGGCTTCAACCCAACAATGTTCTCGGTTGTGGGTGTCGTTTGAAACAATGTTCTTTTCCAACGGTAAAGAAGGGGTCTCGTTTCTTAGCCCTCACATGAAACTCCCCAGTTGCCACTTAAAAAAAAAAAAAAAAAAAAAAAAAAAAAAAACTCTCCAGCGGCCTCACTCTTTTTCCATCTCTCTTCACCCCTCTCTCTCTTTCTCCCTTCACCGAGTTTCTCTCTCTCTCTCTCTATTGATCTCCTTTTCTCGTTCTGCGTCTGGAGATGTCGAGCTGCGACGAAGATGTTGAGCCGCCCTCGTTCTTCGTTGGAGATTTCCGCTCCTACCATCGATGCGACTCGCCGGTGAAGAATAGAGGGAGAAGACTGGTTTTGTCGCGATTCCGGATGCGATTTCAAAATTTCCCCGTTCTAGTTTTGTTGACTTTTAATGCCGCGATTTAAATGATTTTGCTTACTTAGTTTTGTTGAGTTTTGATGCCGCGATTTGTGCTTCGATTTCTCGATTTTGCTTCTCTGATCTTTTTGAGTTTTGATGCGGCTTTCGCCGGAGATGTTCGGGTGTGGCCAGCTGCGAAAGCCTTTTCCTTTCTCTATCATCGCCGCTGCGAATCCAACGTTCAGAATCGCCGACAACATCCCGACATTGCGACGATCTCTGCAATTCCGATGTTGCAACTTTCGCGTTTATCATACCTCAACCCCACTCCAAGTGTTCGACCAAATGTCTGCATAGAACTCCTCTTCTGTAGAATCTGAGTTTGAAATTTTGATATGAGGTTTGTGAATTTGATCTGAGCTTATGCTAAATTTTGTAAATTTTTTGTTGATGTGGATGTGGGCTCTGAGATGAGGCCATTAAGGAATGGAAATTGCGTGGAGTAACCTCCTCTCCTCTTTCTTAGGGGTTTTTTTTTGGATAATTTCTCCTTTTTTTTTATGTAGGTAAAATGAAATTAAAACGCCTCTCTTTGTTGTTTTTTTTTTCGTTTAATTTTTCCCTTGGATTCTGAGGTTGGGGATTTTATGATTGTTAATACGCTGTGTCGTATGGACGGGTGGAACAGTTAACATTTTGGTTTCTATTTTAGTTGGTATGGAATATGCATGTTTGTTGACTATTTGAAATTGTGGTAGACAATCTAAAGGACTAACAATGATGGAAATGCAATCATTGAAAAATCTACAAAATACCAGTTGGAGCATTTAAGGATTTTTGGTAGAAACTAGCTTGCAGGTTACACTTAATTTTAATATTCTATACTTGACCATGTTTTGAAAGGAGTTGGTATAGTTTTTGAGCTAACAATTCATTGACCTTTGGTTGATTGCTTGTGGGACATTTTGTGAGATACCTGGCTAGAAAATTATACTCAAAATCAGATCTCCACCGGGCATCTTAAAGGGTAAGATTTGTTTATCTTATTCGTTTTTTTTATGTTGAAATCTCCGTTTTTCAATATTACTGATATTTTTAGCTCCAATATTACTGTTGGCGTTTGACTACTGTTTCCACTGGTTCTAGCTGTAATGTTCTGTTGATCTTCAATTTTATTTAAAGTGTAACTCCCATATTACTGTTGGTTTTTAGCCTAACATTGGCGTTGGTTTGTAGCTTGATTGTTGCCACCAGTTTTGTCATGGTAACTTTGTGAGTGGTATTAGATCAATTAAACTATTGCAAGTGTTGGTGCTGCATATAGGGACATTTTAAAAGCATAGATAAGATCCCTTTGGATTCACCCAATTTTTGTTGTAATTCTTATTGGTTTTATATATATAAGTAAGATAATATTTTATTTAACATTTGCTATTAAAATCTTCTTAGATACTCCTTACGGCGAGGACTCTTGTGATCGCACTCGAAATGTTGTTTTTAAGGAAATTGTGGCGTTGACAAACTAAAAAAAGGTAGTTAACTATTCCTTTCTTTTGCTTACTACAATTACTGCAAGACTCCATCAACATTATTAAATATATTTTATGCTCCATATTGATTTAGTGCAGGTACAATCTTATTGGAGTCTTACGGCGTGTTATTCACAAAAGTGATCAATATAAATAACCAACCTCCTTGGCTAAGGTATCTAAATTATTTAATTTCTACTTTTTTCCCTACTCATTATGTCTTCAAATTAAAATTTCTTGTTTCTCCTTAAAATTTTATTTAAATTGGATTAAATTTACCTTAAATGGTTCTTTTTTTCATCAGCTTAATAGTGACTGAAACTACTAGGAGTATCTTCTAATTCTGGCGGTATGATATCCAATATTGTCATGGTTTATATTCCAAGGTCATTTCTTCTGCTTAAAACTACTGGAGTTGTCATAATATATGTAGAAGTGCATGGTTTAGTGTTAAATATGAGCACTGTAACATGGCCATTGTTTATAGGTCCAAGAATCTGTTAGGTAATTGATTAGCTCTAGCTTCTGTTTCCATAAGATTCGGAAGCTTGGATCTTTTTGGTGTATTCACTCAATTGGGGTTTTGCTTAATTATTTCGAATTTATCTCTCTTTTGGATATGGGGTTCTAGATGTTTTTGTTGTTTTTCTATGTGTGATAGGATTGGATCATTTGAACGAGAAATTATGAACACCGGTATTGATGAATTGTGCTTCTCTGTTGAATGTGAACTGTTTACATGGAAGTATGAGGAATTAGATTTAAGATTGAATTGGTTTTTATGGAGCAGTGCTTATGTGGTTTTGCCATTTGTTGTGTCTCTTTGTTTTGCTTACTTTTCTTAAATTTTCTGTTCATTCCTTTTTTTAGGAGACAATAAAATTTCTTGTGTAAGTTTCTTATTCCATGTATGGAAAATTGAATGTATATATCATGAATGACAGTGTTTAGTGTTTGTATTAGGTGAATATCTTTTTCTTTTGACAGTGTTTAGTTTCTCTATTGGGTTAATATCTTTTCTATTCAAGGTTTCTCCAGAAAAAATATCATGTTGAATGTCGTCTTTGTTATGAGTAGTACGATGAGGCTCAATTAGTAATTTCTATTTTAAACAGATTTGGTGCCGTTCTTAATTTTCAGTGCCGTCATGTTGTAATCTTACTGTAAAATAGTTGCTGCGGACTTTATATTACATGTTTAAAGTTATTATTGATAAGGAAGGGCTTCCTTTAGTTTTTTTATTTTCTCTTTTATTTTATTATTATTATTATTATTTTTTGCCTGAAAACAATTTTCTTTTCCACCGAATGCATTTTGTCTTTTAGATTAGAGCACAGTATCTGTTCTGTTTCAAAATAAAGTGCGGCAAGGAGTGCAACATATATTCTACATCAATGCCATGTTTGATACACTTTTTCAGAGAACAATAGCTCTCCTTTATCACATCAGTATTCCAATATACACATTTTGTATGTTTTATAAGTAAAATACGCTACTATTCTATTGTAACAATACACTGATACATGTAAATGTAATAGTTTAGTGATGTCCTTTGACAACCAAAAAAAAAAAAAAGGAGTTGAGAATTACAGCTTGAAATAAGGCACGTACACATACATGTGCTTTTCACTAGTCTAAATCTAAATATACATAAAACTTAGAAGAGCGTTTTTCTCTCCTCTCTCCACGTGTCAAACCCAACCTTTTTCCATCTATATTTTTCTTTTTTTTTTCCTTGACTCCGCTTCATCTGCTTGCTTTTTTTTTTTGCTCTTTCCCCTCCGCCTCTTCTTTTCTCTCCCCCTTTCCTCTGCGTTGCTTTTATGCCCTCTCCGCTTAGTCATATCTTCTTCTCTCCAGTGCCTTCTTTGTTACTTTCCAGAGCAAGGAAAACAACAGGTTGGTAATAGAACAATGACGCTTTCTGATTGCATAGAACAATTATGTGCTAATGGATGTAGGGTGTTGAGTTCTTGATTGCAATTTTTTCCCCTTTTTTGTTTTGATTGATGAAGGATTGAGAAGTAGGCTATATGTTTTTCTGGGGAATCCTAATCGATTCTTTGGTTTTTGAGTTTCATGTTTTAATAATTGATAATAATAAAGTTCTTTATACTACAATTTGGTTTGGAGCTTTGTTTGGAGTTAAGCTTCTGTCGGAGAGTTATGCTGGTGGTTTTCATTTGATTTTACTTGTGGATTAATAGAACAGCTTTTGAATTTGAAGAAATGAAACGCCGGTAGCTTGAGTTAGGTTGGGTTTTTTTTTTTTTTTTTTTTTTTTTCCTTCAAATTAAATGCATTGTTGAGTAAAACTTGAAAGGAATAGTGTCACAATAGTGCTTGAATGAAACGACTTTATGTTTCTTTTTTTATTTATATTTTTTCGGTTTCTTGTTTTGAATTGAAATTATTCAATAGGATTTTTTATTCACAATTTCCACCTAATGTAAATTGTAAACTAATGAGCCACCCAGGACAGGATTTTTCTGTCGTATAGTTTCGATAGCTTATAGGCTATCTGTACTGACCGAAGTGTTTTTTTGGTTTTTATTTGCTCCACTCGTTCATAGTTGATCCTGGCTAGAAGAATAGATTGATGCATTTGTTGGTTCATAAACAGTTATTCAAGTACTTTCCTTATCCTATATCTTTAGATATGGGTGTGCTCAAAGTTGTGAAGTTCCTTTATAACTTCTCTGAATAAAGCCATGGTCCTTGGCAAAGTGTTCTATTGACTATTTACAGTATATCATATATTTGGTGTAGTTATATTTCTTGGATACATAATATAAGAGCTACATAGAGATTTTGTGCATACTTCTGCTACCATTATCTTTGTTTTTGAGCTTTCAGTTTTTGCATTATTTTAATTGCTTTTTGGCGCTGCTATTTTGCAAACTCTGGAGAACGTTGGACTTTTAGCATTCTGTTGGAAATAGAATATTCGGTAGTAAATGTACCGAATCATAGGGCTGTAAATAGAAAGATTATTATAGGCTGTAATAAGGAAGATTTAGTCAACTAGAATAAAGTGTAATTAGTTAGGATGATTTGCGTGTTATGTACTTTCCTAGAATAGTCTCTTAGTTTATGTATTTATACGTATTCTGTAAACCTTAAGTTTGTGCAGTAAAGATAATTCTTCATACCCCTCATATTTGCTCATATGGTATCAGAGCAACCCTAGCTGGCAACCCTTATTCGAAGAAAGAAAAAAAAAAAACCAGAAACTCCCTTCAATCATTCTCTTCTTCAACCATGTCCGACCCTTCTGAATCCTACTACTAGGAAAATCTTTGTTACTTTAGATGTTTCTTTCATTGAAAATCAACCCTATTTTCAAAAGAATTTTCTTCAAGGGGAGAAACAAAGCATGGAAGAAAATTTTTGGGATATTATTCTAGACCCTTTACCGAAACCTGTGGAGTCCGAACCTAATCAAGGGATAAATTTAAATCTTTTTGAAAGGAATGTTACTAATCATAGTACTATGTTGCCAGTCATTGTTGAGTCTTCTAGAGGGGGAGAAATACTATCAACCGATCCTAAGGGACGTAATTCTGAGCTTCTTGTTTTTACTCTAGGAGAAAGAATCATCAAAAGATCAGAGGACTGACTAATCCCTTGGTTCTGAATCAATCAGATGACCCGAATTATGAGCCTATGGACACATCAGGTAATTTGAATCCTTCTCAACCTGATATTTCCTCAGTATTGCCTGAAAAAATTCCTCCTGAATTCTTTAATGATCTTGATGTTCCCGTAGCTATTAGGAAAGGTACACGCTCTTGTACCAATCACCCAATCACAAAATATGTGTCTTATGATAAACTCTCTCAGTCTCATAGAGCCTTCACATCCAAAATCTTTGATTTGTTTGTTCCAAGAAATATTTAGGAAGCACTTGATGATCCAGGTTGGAAATTAGCAGTAATGGAAGAGATGAATGCTCTATGCAAAAATGAAACATGGGAGATTGTGGAATTACCTAGGGACTAAAAAACTGTTGGTTGTTAATGGGTGTTTACAGTTAAGTGCAAAGCCGATGGTAGCATAGAGAGATACAAAGCGCGACTTGTAGCCAAGGGGTTTACTAAGATCTACGGTATTGATTACCAAGAGACTTTTGCTCCTGTGGCTAAAATTAACTCTATTTGTGTATTATTGTCTCTTGCAGTAAACTTAAACTGGTCCTTATATCAGTTAGACGTGAAGAATGCCTTCCTTAACGGAGACTTAGAAGAAGTGTTTATGTGTCTACCACCAGGCTTTGAAAGATTCTTTGGCCAAGACAAAGTTTGTAGACTTAAGAAGTCCTTGTACGGACTCAAGCAGTCCCCTAGGTTTGGAAAGGCTGTAAAGAGTTATGGTCTTCATCAAAGTCAAGCAGACCATACCCTGTTCTTTAAGCACACAGAGAAATGGAAAATTATTGTTCTAATTGTTTACGTTGACGATATAATCTTGACAGGCGATGATCTTGAAGAATTGGCAAGGTTGAAGAAAAGACTAGCACAAGACTTCGAGATTAAGGGCCTAGGGACACTAAAATACTTCCTCGGCATGGAATTTGCAAGATCGAAGGAAGGTATCTTTATAAACCAAAGGAAATATATCCTTGATTTACTTAGTGAAACAGGCCTTCTTGGTTGCAAAGCTGCTGAAACACTTGTTGAAGTTAATCTAAAACTTAACCCTGCTAAAGCCGAAGATGTGATTGAAAGAGAGAAGTATCAACGATTAGTTGGAAGACTCATTTATTTGTCACACACTCGTCCTGATATAGCTTTCGCAGTTAGCATGGTGAGTCAGTTCATGCACTCTCCAGGACAGGAGCACTTTGATGCAATCAACAAAATTTTAAGATACCTAAAAGGGTCACTAGGAAAAGGTTTGATGTTCAAAAAATGTGACAAGATACAGGTTGAAGTCTTTACAGACGCTGATTGGGCAGGGAGTGTTTATGATAGACGATCGACCTCAAGATACTGTGCCTAATCTTGTTTCCTGGCTTAGCAAAAAGCAAAGCGTGGTGGCATGGAGTAGCGTGGAGGCAGAGTTTAGATCACTAGCTCATGGAATTTGTGAAATCATGTGGATAAAGAGACTATTGGAAGACATGAAGATTCCAGTAACATTGCCCATGAAAGTTTATTGTGACAACAAGGCTGCTATTTTGATTGCCTACAATCTAGTTCTACATGTTAGGACTAAGCATATCGAAGTAGACAAGCATTTCATTAAGGAAAAACTTGAGAGTGGTCTAATTTGTATTCCCTATGTTCCAACTAGACATACTCACTAAAGGACTTCACAAGAGGCAGTTCGAGTTCTTAATAGGCAAGCTAGCTATGGAAGACATCTACAAGCCAGCTTGAGGGGGAGTGTTGGAAACAGAATATTTGGTAGTAAATGTACAGAATCATAGGGCTGTAAATAGAAAGATTATTATAGGCTGTAATTAGGAAGATTTAGTCAACTAGAATAAAGTGTAATTAGTTAGGATGATTTGCGTGTTATGTACTTTCCTAGAATAGTCTCTTAGTTTATGTATTTATAGGTATTCTGTAAACCTTAATTCTGTGCAGTAAAGATAATTTTTTATACCCCTCATATTTGCTCATACATTCTTATTACAGCCTGAGACTTCAAGAACAGTACTTGATTTATTCACAGGCCTTCCTCTTGCTGAGGGAGGTTTTTTTCCTATTGATTGGAGCTTTCTCCAGACCTCCGGGAAAAGAATGAAAAAAAAGGATCGAATGGTACGATCCCTCTGTCACCCCAGAATGAAAGGGGCGATCTCCGACTCGGTATTCTTAAAAAAAATAGAGAAATCAGAACCAAGTCAAGATGATACGGATTTCCAACAGATGAAATCGCACTGTCGTCTTCCCGAGAACCTGCATGGGATTCGTGAACAGGAAAAGAATCGAATTCTAATGCAAGGAAATAATTTGAAATTTTAAAATTCAATAGAGTTAGGATAAAAAATATACAAAATCAATAAAAGCGTTGGTATATTTCTTTGTTCCTTTCTTTATTCTCCAGTTCTGTCTGTTCATCCTTAAGACGCCTATTTGATTCAAATTTTACGCTATATGATTTATAATTATTGGTGTGTTGTCCTCTCTCTTATTTCTCAAAATTGAAACTTTTCTCTGATAAATTTGTATGACTAATACAATGTGTTCTAATTAGCTAGTTCAGACTCTATTCTGTATTACTTTGTTAAATGCTGAACTGAATAGGAATTCTAATTTGAGAATGAATTGGAGCTGCTTCTTTTTGAGAGAGTTAGGGAGAAATAGGCTAGGAATCTTTAGAATTTTATCTGCTTCTTTTGAGTCTGTCATGAGCCAATTATAAGACATGGCATTGTACAAGTTCCATCTTGAGGTTGGAGAGTTTTTGGAGATGCTTTGCAGGAAAGGTGTCCCAAACGTAGCATAGGTTGATTAAAAGAATACAAGCATCAATTGTCCATATCCTTGCTTAGATGGATGAAGGATTGTTCTTGTATGATAATATCAGTAATTTTTTTATAAAAAAATAAAACTATCATCATTATTGAACTATAGCCATAATGGCACTTACAATAGACGAAATACACTCGGGGAAATCCTCCAACTATTCCTGGTCAGAATCTAAGGAGGTTTAAAGATATAAGAGTACCATTATATATATGTATATTGTGCGTAAGTATATTAAAAGGTAACCGTCTCAGATCTTACAAAAACCAAGAAATTCAAAATGTCAAGAAGATGAGTTGTGTCTACGATATCTTTGTATGTTATTGTCCCCTGTTCACTTTGAATGCCTATAGTTGTTGGTCTTTTCTTCTGTGTTGCTTTATCTTGCCTTTCTTCTTACAACTTCCTCCGGTTTTTTTTTTTTTTAATTTTTTTAATTTTTTTAATTTTTATGTAGGTGGTTCTGAAAGTATGCCTCTAGAGATCAAATGTTCTCGTGGTTCTCTCAGGTACTGTTTCAATTATCGTTGTTTTAAGTGGTTTCTCTTTCAGTAGTATGAAAAAGGAACAAAAAAGGTGGGAAGAATAATTCCAACCTAAGCACAAAGATCCTTTTTCGATGTAATACTTCTAAAATTAGTGAATGTGTTGCTGAAACGGCTGATGCCAAGAATGCTTGTGAAATTAATGCAACTATTATGCCTGAATGTGATCTTACTGAAGTTATTGCTGGTTATATTACAGTGCCAAATCTTTGTGGTATTACTTCTGATGATGATTGCCTTATTGTTGAGTTGAACTCCTGTGCTAATTTAAACCATGTTCATCTCGATGTTGAGCAACAATTTAAGAGACACAATGATGCATCTCATGCACGAAAAAAAGGCATTTATTGTTGGATAAAAAAAAAAAAAGAAGCAAAATAAATGAGCCAAATAGCGGGCTCTCCTCTGACAATGGTTGTTCTGGTTTAGGTATTAGAGAGGTGTGTAGATTTAGGTCCCGTTCATTTCACTGATTCGAGTTTAGAATTTGAGTTTTGCTACAGTAAAAAGCTCTCACATAAAATCACATCTCAACTCGAATTAAAAACTCGAATCAGCGAACTAAACGAACCCTTAGTATTATATACCTTTGCTTTTTTACTTCTAAACTTTTGATCACTTGCTAATTTTATCTCGTTCCTTTGTTCTGTATTTAATGTTTGTCTGCTGTTTAATTGTAGATGTTGCTAGTCATGGTGGCAATTAAAATCTAATGGTCATTTGACTTTTTTACTCATTGGTGCTACTGCTTCTCTAATTTCTTAGTCCTTAAAGAAAATAGTACTTTTAACACTTTTGAATTCAGTGAATTTACTTCATAATTTCCTCATCTCTTCTTAGAGAAGATAGCATGTTCTCAATCTGCAATAAACACATACATATTTTTCTTTCAATTTTGAAGATTACTTATCAATCTTTCTTTCATTCTATATGTATATATAGACACACACACAGAGACACATACATATTTACAATTTATATGAAATTACAACATGATTTTCATTTTTGCGTTAAATAAACTTGTCCAACTGAGTTTAGACGCGCAGAGCGCGTGTTTACAACTTGTATATGAAAAGTGAGATGGACCTGTTTACAATGGAACCTTTTTTTTTTACAGGCTCTTTCTTTTATTTTTTATTTTATTTATAAAAAAAAAAACTCTATAGGAAGTATTAAAAATCCTTTCTTTACTTTCGTCAGAAAAGGTTTATGCTATGTTTGGTAGGAAGGAAAAAAAATATAATAGAAAGGAAATATAAAAGTGATAAAAAATAACAATAATGAAAAGGAAATTGATTTTCTTTTATGTTGTTTAGTATGAGAAGATGGAAAGAAAATGAGCTTACCTTCACTTGTTTGGTATTAGAAGTTAAATTGGAAGGAAAGGAAAAATCTTACTCGTAAATTACTTTTATACTCTTAAATTTTTTGCTTGGATGTTAATGGAGAAAATGATAGTTTAGTAACTTTGCTCACTTTAATGAGTTGTCCTCATTTTTCATCCCATTTTCTGCCCACTTGTGGAAAGAAAAAAAATAATAGGGCCCATATGTATTATTTTTCACTCTATTTTCTCTTCCTTTCTCTTTTCTCTCCTACCAAATAACTTATATTTTTATTTTTTTTCTGAAAATTCCTCCACTTTCTTTCTTCCTTCTACTTTTCTTTCCTAGCAAACATACTCTTAAGGTGAAAGTTGTTTTATGTTTCCTCTTCTTCCCTTAAACGTGGTTTTTTTTTATTTTTACTCTGTAAGAAATATTAAAAATTCTTTCTTTACTGTTGTCAAGAGGTTTAGCATGCCAGTTGTTTTTCACTCCCTCTCCTTTCCCTTACACGTGGTTCTTTTGCATGTGCTTTGCAGAAAATCGAATCATTATAGATTTTTGTTTTTCCATTTTTTCCTTGGCCACGTTATATTTGCTTTCCCTTTTCATTTACTTCTCTCTCTGTTTCTCCCTTTCTTTCTATTTCATCCTCTTCGTTTTTGACCTATTTTCTGAAAACTTTTTCTTTTTTTTTTTCGTTGAATTGGTTGAAAACTTTTTCTTGTTATCCTATCTTTCTCTCTAGTATCTGCCCCCAATTGGTGATGAACTCTGACAATCGTCGAACAGGATGTCCGGAGATGAGTTTTTTTAGAGGTAATTTTTTTTTAAAAAAAATAAATCTGGCTGCTTGCTTTCTTTCTTCTGCTTCTTCTTTTTTTTATTTTTTATATATATATATGATGAGGGTTTTACCTGCTTTGCTTAGGGAAAAAAAAAAAATAAATCTGGCTGCTTGCTTTCTTTCTTCTGCTTCTTCTTTTTTTTTTTTTTTTTATATATATATATGATGAGGGTTTTACCTGCTTTGCTTAGGGAAAAAATAATAAAATATTGTAAGATGTAGCCTTTGGAATTTTATGAATTTTTTCATCCTAGAATGAAAGACAATTCTAATTTGCATATGAGTCAAAGGTTCTTTTTATGAGGGGTAAGGGGGAAATATAGTAATGCTATATACACTAGCATTTATTTCAAACTATACAAGACATGCAATTTTACAAGACTTAACATGAGGTAGAAGAGCTCCGCGAGGTCAGGCGCACAGATGTCAATTAGTATTGTGCTACACTTTAGAAGAAACTTCTTATAGGAAAAGCTCTACTTTCTAGTAGATAAGGTGATTAGCAATTTGACTTCGACGAAGAACTTTAGCTCTTCCTAGAATTGGAAAGATTGTCAATGAAAATTTATTGAAGAACTGTTTTGGGATCTTGGTAGTGGAAACATCTTACTTCTTGCATTTAGTGTCGCATTGGAGTTAATAGACATTGGCTTTCGGGTATTAGTAGTTGATTATTGTGAGAAATAGTCATTAACTGGAATGGTTTTTTTTTCCTTTCTCCTATTTGGTTAGGTCGTAGCCTAGGCTGTGCGGGGTCTTTTTTGTTTTGCAAACATTCCACTTGTTTTTCAATTCAATTTGAGAACTCTTCTTAAAGAGATGCAGTATTTTTCAAAATTTTGCGTGGCATTATTTGTATTCAGAGTGGGAGCGAAGTAATTATAACAAATTGCGATATATAGCATTGTTTTTTCATGCTTCTTGAACTGGCTACCAATATTCTCTTTCTTTTCTCTTTTAGGGAAAGGCTGTTTAGGTATTTTGGTTTTGTATTGGATTTTGAATGTGTTTCTTTGAATTTGAGTTTTTGTTCATTTTTTTTGCTTCATCTCTTACTTTTGTTTGTCTTTTTTGGTATATATAATTGGATCTCTACTGAAATTTGTTATTCATTTAGTGCATTTCGATCGTTCCTTCAAGAATCAAGGTGTTGCATTTCTCCTGAGATATGTATTGAAGTCATTGTCAGTGCGTAATCTTCTATAACCTTGATACATTTGAGAGCTTTTTGAATTGGCTGCTTCTAATACGAGATTATGATGATGTTTCTATTAAAACAAATTTCATATTGAGTGCCATGCAAAGATAATAGCTTAATTCAGTTTATGGAATCTTTAAACATTATGTATGCTCAGGACATTTATATAACTATTTTAACTTTACTGTTAGTTTCAAATGATTGGACTCCGACCCCACATTATGCACTCACCCTTAATTCGTGGCTGGTATGTTGGTATGTGCTTGATGATTATGTTCAATTGTCAGTTAAAGTATATATATTTTTTCCGTTTGTTCAGTTTTTTCCCCTTGAATCTATGTTCACCCATACTTTTCACTCAAATCACCATTCTTATTTTACTTTAAAGTATATGTGATTCAATATCCAGAGATGAAGATCGATTCGTTGTGAAGTGAACTTTCAATCTTTGTTTGGTTTGGATGTGGCCATGTATATATTTATTAGGTAAATTTTCATTTTTAGGTCAATTGACTATATGTTTACGATGTACTATAAGCTATAACTTATATGTGTTTAATGATTTTAGCTATGGTATTGTGGATACATATGCTTACAAGTTGCAACTTCATACTGATAGTAACACTTGTTTTTAGGGAGTAAAGGAAGAAGTTATCGGGCGCCCTTGAGGAGATGTCTACAGCTGGAGAGGAAGGTTTATTTATTTGTCAAAAATTGATGAGACTCGTGCTAGGAAAAAAGCTTTTTGATGTAATAGGTATTGTTATTGTGGAAGAATGTGTTTTACACATTAGGAAAGTTTGAATATAATAGTTAGTTTTCCTAGAATTAGGTTGATTTGGTTAGTTTCCCTTTTTAGTGTGATATCCCATAGATTATGGGATGTGATTGCCGTTTCTAAAGGCTAGGACTCCTGTATATAAACCGGTTGTAATTGTCATGCAATAATACAATTTTTCCTCTCAAATTACCACAGTTATGACCTTAAAATGCAAACTGGTAAAGTATTTATGAGTTTTATTCTTATTGCGTGTTTGTGTTATGTACTTTGATAGTTTGTAGTTGTTTGTGGTGTGCAAACTTGGTTTTTTAATCTTTTTCTTCCACTTTTGCCCTTTCTTTTTCACTTTTTACTCATTTGGAGTTACTGTCAAATCTATTAAAAACTCAAACTATGAGTTTGGCCAAATTGCAGAAGTTGGGGATTCTGGCGGTGCTTCCAAAGTCCTATCGCCTCTCGCAAGTCCTGGAAAGCCTCAGTCTATCTGTAGTCTTTCGGTGGCATGCCAATTCCAGTGATTAGCCACCGATTGACTTTGGGGCCACCATCAAAATTCGAATCAAAATACGACTATTATGAATAGCAAAATCTGAGGAACTCTGATCTTCAACGATGACCGATAATCCTTCCTTCTATCTCTCTTCCCTAAAACTCTGTTGCACCGTCGTGATTTCGAGGACTGTTTTGGAGGTTTTATTTATTTTTGTTTTTAATTTTTGCAAGGTGGACGCATGAGGTGTGTGCTCTGTCCCCGTCGTCTCAAACCCAATCGGCCTCACTTCCACTGTTTCTGTCATCCATCGCCCTATCGACCATGGCAATGTCAATTCCAAGCATCATCTGACAATTGTTTATATTCTCTACCAACAACTTTCTCCGATTTTCTTTTTTAATGTAGTTTTTGAGTGAAATTTTCAGAAAATTGCGATTGATTTGGATTTGGATGCGATGATAACTTCTCGATGGGCTCTTGGTTCAGTTGAAGTTTGCTTTTTATGTGTTTGTTATAATGTTTCAGTGAATGTTCATTGATTTCTCTGAAACTCAAGATGATTCCAAAGTCGTCAACGGAGTTTCCATGGTGAGTTCATCAGTGTTTTTGTGGAATTTACTGTTCTAAAAATTGATTTTGTTAGGTTTATGGTTGTGTAAGAGAAGATTAGCTTAGTGAAGATTGGCTGAGAATTTGATAGGAGTGGAATGAAATATTTCAGTTTTCTCTATGCAATAGTCAAGAAAGCCAAGACTTAAATTTGTACTTGACTAAAGTAATCACTGGAACTTTTTTAGTTAATTTTCCAAACTTGATAATTTTAAGAAACTTTTAACTGAGTGGCTGTTCAATTCTAATTATGTTGATCAGTTTTGGAAATGGCAGAGAATAGGAGATGTTTCGTACGAAATAAGAAGAATAAGTGTGCAAATGGAAGAGAACGAAGAATTGGCAATATTTGTTAGGAGGTTTTAGAGAACAAAATGTAAGGGATTCTTAGTGTGCGAAGGATAACTTTCAGTTTTGTCTTGTTAAGGTATATGTTATCACTTTACTGTATGTATATGTTAGTTGAAAAATATTTGGTTGTTTTTCCGCGAGATCGTATAATTTATAACCGTAATGAATTGTTTAAACCCCACATTTTGTGGGTCCTTTTGAAAAATAGGCTTAAAATGTGTAATGTGTTTAATGAGTAGGCTCTAAAATAGAAAGTTTCAATGAGTAGGCCTTTCATTAAATGAAAAAATGTGTATTCCCTAAATGCCCTTCTCCTTTTCTCTCAAATTAAAAGAAAAAACGTTTGAAAAGGAGGAGCTAAATCCCCTCCTTCGCTGGGCAGTCACGAGGAAACGTTGCCGGCCAAAGTTCACCGGCGGCGCCGCCTTTCACCGCCGGAGAATGCCCCTACCGACGTCGACAATCGCCGGCATCCATGGTGATAAACAGTCCGAGCATTATTCTCTCAAATCTTGTATTTTTTATGCTTAATTCATTGTTTGAATGCTGGGTAATCGTGGTTTGGTATTTTATTTGAAAAACCAACAAGAATCATGCTATTTCATGGCCTCTTCGGAGTTGAGTAATCTGCAAAATCGAAGAAACTCACGTCTGTCATTTCTTTCCGTTCTGACTGGTGGGAGCGGTAAGAAACCTGAGTCCGGTCAGAAAGGTCTTACTGGTGGGCCCTGTAAGAAAATTGCCAACCGGTCTTTCCAGTAAGAAAGATCTGATCGGGCATAATTTTTAAGGATATTTTGGTCATTCACTCTTATCCCAGGAATAAAAAAAATAAAAATTGAAATTCTATTTATAACAAGTCTACGAATTGAATGGGTATACATTTGGGGCCTATTGACTTAAAAAATCCACATTTTGTTGGGAATAGTACATTCCATGCTTAAAAGTGAAAAAAAAAGAAAGAATAAAAAAAAAGTTGTGCCAGGACTGTGAGGCTTGATATTAAATATACAAGTTTCAATTTTATATTCAAAATTCTGGAAAACAGATTAACCCTATATGTATGAATTAGTAGGGGCTTTATTTCACTTTTTTAATTCTTATGAATTACTAAGCTTCCAGTGTAGAAACTATTGCTATAAAGAGACTAAAGAAAATAATAATATCCAAGAAGTTGCAGACTAGCGTTTTTATTAAAAGCACTAAAAGTTGAATGACGATAATATATTGTAAAAAAGATGCTACACTTCATGCTTTTTTCTCCTTGTGAAGCCTTGACGATCAAAGCTTTCAAGAGGTGGAACTGCACGCTAGGATTTGCATCGGCTAAAATGACTCAAAAAGTTTGACTCTTGATTAGAAACATAAAAGAGTCATTATTTATGTATGGGTTTTATCTTTGTCTAATTAGCCTACTTCTCTTTTTCTGTTGGATAATTTAATTAGCTTTGTTTACTTCATTTTGCATAATGTTTTCTTTGATGCTTATGTATCTATTAAGAAGTTGCATGTAAAATGTTTGATGGAATGCCTATTTGAGTTTCTGCACAATGATTTATTTAGGTTCCCCTCACCCCCGCTCTCTTTGGTCCAAAATAATTTGTGGAACTTGTCTCTCACCAATAAAATTTTGGTAGTTAACAAAAAACTAAGCTTCCTTTTTTATAAACTTTACTTGCAAACTTAGTTGTTAACTTGAAGGGATGGAAATTTTCCTTCAAATTCTCAGAAGTGTATAAATGTCCATATTGCCAGTATTTGGTGGTTGGGTCAATTTCCCTTAATGGAGGCGGTCCTCTGGTATGTCTTCTTAGTAAGATATAAAAGTTCAAAAGAAGCTTGTATAGTTGCACAATCCATCTATGTAGCCCAATATATAGTATATTATATATTTCAATATTTCTTTTTCTTCTTGCAGAGATTTGTGGCAAAGAGTCAGGAACTTAAACTGCTCATTCAACTTCTATCTCAACGTGAAGATTTCTGTGTGCGGTAATAATAATGTCCCGATTCTACTTGAAATTCTGCATTTGATTTCTTCTTTGTGTTTATTTTTGTTATTACTATAATCACTATTATTTAGAATGGCCTCTGAAAGTTTATTTATACTTGTCTATTATAGAGAAAAAGAGAGAATATCACTGTTGTAGGACCAAAATAGATTTAAAAAAGACGGAGAAAGTAGGAGAGAAGAAGAGAAGAATTGAGGGAAGAAGTAGAATTTTGCGTGAAGAGAGAACAATAGAGATGAAATCTATATTTTTAATGAATAATTATCAAGGTCTACAATGTTTTAACAAATATTTGGTCTAGTCATAGATGGGGAAGCTACAAATGGAAATGTAAGTCAGTTTTCAGTGTATTATGATTTATGCTATTTTGAGGATTTAGTTTTCATTTGGATTCATTCTTTTCAATCTCTTGTTTGAGCCAAGCCTTTTACGGATCAAAATGACCATGAATATGACGATGATGGCGACGCTGAAATGGGAGAAAATGTGGAAGGTTGGTAAGGATTGCTTTTTTTTTTTTTTTGTATGATAAATTGTGTGTTCTTTGTAAGAAGAAGAAATCGAATTGTAGAATAGAAATGTGAAAAAAAGTCTTACGCGTCGCTTATAATTTTTTTTAAGGTTTTGTAATTTCGACAAAGCATGGTGGAATTTATTTGAATTGCGTTGTCCAAAGCTTGTGAATCAGACTCAAAAGTTGATGGGCAACAGACGTGTTTGGGAAGCTCATTTGCATAACTATTGTCTCTTTTATCATATAAACAAACACTATTATTGTAGAAAATAGGAAAGTAAATCGGATATGGAATAATCCGGTTAATAGGGGCTTAGAGATAAGATAGGAAAGTAGTTTATACTTTCAGTTTTTAAAGGAGATCTCTTGAGATAAGGATCTCATCTAATCCATCTTTCCGTGGGATTTTATTTCCTGATTCCCATAGGGTTTTCTCCTATAAATATTGTAACTTCTTGTATAGAAATTAATCAATAAAGAATATTCTTTTCTGCCCTGAAACCTTCATGGTATCAGAGCTAAAAAATACCTTCTTAATCCATGGCTGAAACAGCCATCACAGAAGAAGGCAGATCCTCGGCATCCTCTAGGACAGGAGATTCTAATCGTGGTGAACCAGATCGAACCACCATGACACAAGGAGGAGACTCGACTCAATTTTCGTTCCAATTGACTCTCCACAAAATGAACGGAAAGAACTACCTAGAATGGGCACAATCGGTGAAGTTGGCCATTGATGGAAGAGGAACTCGGTCATTTGAATGGAGAAGTGAAGAAGCCTGAAGATGGGGATCCGAAACTAAGGGCATGGAGGTCAGAAAATTCGTTAGTTACTGCATGGTTAATTAACTCTATGGAACCAACTATAGGTAAGCCCTATCTTTTCCTTCCCACTGCAAAAGACGTATGGGATGCAGTGAGAGAAACCTATTCCGATCTTGAAAATTCCTCACAAATTTTTGAATTAAAAACCAAGTTGTGGAAATCCAAACAAGGTGAGCGTGAGGTTACCATTTATTATAATGAGATGGCGTCTCTATGGTAAGAATTAGATAAATGCTATAATGATGAGTGGGATTGCCCAGTGGATAGCGTTATATTTATGAAAAAAGAAGAAGGTGATCGGGTGTACCTTTTTTTCGCTAGTTTGGACCGAGTCTATGATGAGATTAGGTCTAGGATTCTTGAAAAAAATCCCCTACCAAC